TCAGCTTGCACCAACAGTACTGGTTCCCAGTCAGATTTTTATTAGCTAAAAGATATTTTTGGTCACTCATAAAGTGAGCCTTTTCCAAATAACAGCTAAATTAATCTTTTGAGGGCATGATACTGCAAGATGCTCAGCTGCACCCAAGAAGCAACAGATACCTCACAAGATAAGACATTGAATAAGTGACTCCTCGTTCTATGGGATGCCAGCTATGGTCAACTGACACAGTTCATCTTATGCTTCACTCCTGAAATGTGCTGCTCTGGAGAACCTTTCCGCTGTCCTCGACCCCCAGTGACATCAGAAACATGCCCACCTTTTGTTTGTTCTGCGACAAACTGATACTGTATTTCTTGCACACTCAAAACACTTATTGAGCTCAGTGGAAGTTTTGGGTGCACAAGGAATGAAAAATCAGACCCTTTGTCTAATTTGTATCTGTTTGCTTTTACTGTAATAGATTTTTTACTATTCATTAACATCATAGTACTGATTAATTTTTAATTTCAGCAAAATTGTAAAGCATCTTAAGATAGCTCAGTACAGTAAGGTATTATAAAACTTATGGTCTAATTCTAGCAAGCTTGAAGTCTGCTTGACTTGCATTACACTACACCTCAACCTCGATATAACGCTGTCCTCAGGAGCCAAAAAATCTTACCGTGTTATAGGTGAAACCGCTTTGAACTTGCTTTGATACGCCGGCGTGTGCAGCCCTGCCCCCCCCCAGAGCACTGCTTTACCGCGTTATATCAGAATTCGTGTTATATCGGGTCGCGTTATATTGGGGTAGAGGTGTATTTATGCAGAACAAGGCTCATAAATCGCTGTTATGTGAACAATGCTGGGTTGGGGGGTTTTGTATTCTGGTCTTCTTTGATCTATATCTCTGAATTTTAATTTTGTGACCTTTTTTAATGACACCATGTAACTATGTTTACAGTTCTACACCTCACTTTTCCCCCATGGCTTAATGTTGTATATAATTCTCAGCAGTCATTCCATATTTATGATAGCCCAGAATTACAGCTGAGATTTTGCTTTTGCTGAGATTTTAAAAACCATCTGGGGGATTTAGATACATAATTCCCATTTATTTCAGTGGGTATTACGTGTCTTAGTCTCCTAGGAAGATTTGAAAATCACAGCCTTCATCTACAACTTCTTTTTGTATTTTGGTTTTTAATCTTTGTCCATTATACCAAAATGACAGCCACTTTTCCTTAATGTATTACAATTAAACACACTAAAATGTAGCACTGCATACCATACCTAAATGATCCTAAAACGTTACAGTACTGTCTATTGGCAATAATAAGTAACTGTGGCAATCAAAGGGCTACTACTGTTTCTATACCAGCCTAATATTTTATCTGAATTCAGTACCTTTTTATCCTGAAGCATCCCAAAGCACCTAAACTATACACTGACATTGCAGCTGCTTGTAAGGCAGAATTACTTAGATACACTGCACCACCTTTTGCCCCCACACTGCTGCATGAGCGGAGTGACAATTTGACCTTACGGCAGCACTTGAATTCTGTAGGGCTAACAGTGGAGTGGATTAGAGCTATTTACCTCTACAAGCCTAGGGTAAATTATTGGATCACAAAAGGAAAAAAATGGTATTGTAGAGTCGCATTTTAGTACTTAATAGCTATTTGATTAACTCATGGAATCAAATGTCCCAATTTGGCAGGACTGTCTCTCTCTGTTTATATGGTACAGGCCTTACAACTCAGGTGAGTTGCAGGTCACAACTGAAGTGCACTGGCAAAACTTTGCGATGAATCCTGCCTGAGGCTTATTTCTATCCATTATTTTTTCCTGTTTTTAGCCACTGCACTTAGACCCTGTCTTCAAAGAGCAACAAATCCACACTTCTTTGTTAAAGGGAATACCATGCAGAAGTTAAAGGACTGAATATTATCCAAGAAAACATGGCTAATGCTAACTTATTGCATGCTTTCCTGCTTACTGTACCAGTGAAGTGAAAGGGCCGAGACCTCAAGGTTGCAATCCTAGAATGTTTCTCAAAATGGTAAAATTTTAACAAATTACCACCATGTTTGTAGAGCCAAACTATCACTGTCTAATTTCTTTCCATTTCTATAATAAACTAAGGTACATATTCACAAAAGGACGTAGTCACCTAACTATCACTTTAGGCACTTAAATCCCACAACCAGGCCCCTCTGAGATTCACAAACACTCTGCTCAACTATCTCTGAACCCCAAAGGCGCCTCGCTCACTCAGCGCCAAAATTTTTGCAGTACAAGTTCCCTTGGCACCAATGTTTCTGCTGCTGAGCACGTGCACTGTACCCTTATGCTAGATATCCAGACACCTAAGGCTTAGATCAATGCAGAAACCAGGGGAAGCTAGGCATTACTCGCTTTCAGGGCCTGATCCAGTTAGCATGCTCAGACCTTGCCTACTGGCAGGGCCGGCTCCAGCTTTTTTGCCGCCCCAAGCAGCGAAGCGGGAGAAAAAAAAAGATAAAGCCGCGATCGGAGGCAATTCTGCGGCGAGTCCTTTGCTCCAAGAGGGACTGAGGGACCCACCGCCGAATTGCCGCCAAAGACCTGGACGTGCCGCTCCTTTCCATTGGCCGCCCGAAGCACCTGCTTCCTTCGCTGGTGCCGGCCCTGCCTACTGGATCAGGCCCTATAGAGAAGCTTACACAGAATGCTGGGGATAAAGGGGGAGAAGAAGTTTACACAACCTCCCCAGGAGGAACCTCCCTCCTAACTTTTAACCCAGTGGGTAGAACAGTCACTTGGAATATGGGTGACCCACAGTTCTCTCCCCTCTGCCTGAGGGGGAGCAGGGATTTGAACAGGGAGTCTGTCATTTCTTAGGTGAGTGCTCTCACCCATGAGTTATGGTACATTCTGATGTGACGTTCCCGCAGTTGGAGCAGGGGGAGTGGATCCTGGGTCTCCCAGTTCTCAGCCGAGTGCTCTAAGCATCAGGCTCTCTCTCATACTCTGACCTCATACTCTGTTCCCCTGTGGATTAACTAATGAACAAATCATTGGGGCAAAGAGGATACAAGCATGAGGATGACTCTGTAGGCCGGTAGTTAGAGCACTCACCTGAGAGTGGGAGACTCCTGTTCAGATCTCTTCTCCCCATCAACTGGAGGCGGGACTTGAGCTGGGGTCTCCCACATCCTGTGTGAGTACCATAACCATTGGCCTAAAAGCTATGAGAGAGGTCGTTGTCCTTGTCCTCCTTCCCCACCTTTGGTAAAATACGAGGTAGTCATTCTCCTCCTGCCTAACACCAGGAGAGGGTTAGCAGCTGAGAATCCCAAGTAGAGGTAGGTGCCCCCAGGCAGTCTGGATTTAGGCGTCTATCTCTGAGAGATGGGCAGTGGTTAGTGGTGACACACCCATCAACGTGGCATCTCCCACTGGCTAGCTTAGACAAGGAGCAACCTAGGGTGCTGGGTTTTGTGAATCGCTCAGTCTAAGACACCTCTCTCTCCCCATTCATTGCACAGGGAGTCCACACACCAAACTCAGACCTAAGAGTTAGGCATGGTGGCTCTGAGCATCACTACACCTAGGTATTTTTGTGAATCTAGACCTAAGAGCACGATTCTGCTCCCAATAAGGCCAATGGGAGTTTTGCCATAGGCTGCATGATAGCAGGAGCAGGTGTACCATAGATTAGTATTTTAATTTTTCAGCTGTTTGGCTTCCTTGTAGTATGCATTTTAGAACTGTGTGCTTTTTCTCAACTGATTGGTAACAGAGTTCTGAGTGTCTTAATAGGCTTATATTGGAGATGGGTCTGAGCCATCAAGTTCAGATCCAAAGGTTTGGGGGAGTTCACATCCAGGGTGTTAGTTTTGTGCATTGTAAAGAGTCACCAGTCACAAAGTTTGGCTCCTGTGCTAGTTCCAAACTCTTCAAAAAATTAATCTTGTTGAGATGGGGAGTTTATTTGAATCTATTATGTATTTTTCCAAAGTGGGGAGCTGTTAACATATGTCCCAGGATGGGATTCAATTAGGAAAATTTATTTTTCAGCAAAATCGTATACATACATATCTTTTCCCAAAATATAGTCACTTTAGATTTCTATAAACTTTACTAAATGCTTTGTTTAAAATCACTTTCATAGACTGCTTCTGGTACATTAGTGAAAACAGCTAAGTTTGGGGTTTTTTGAGAGGTGAAATATAGCAGTGATATTTGCTATATTTAACATTCAGAAAACAATGATTCAGGTAGGCACCTAAAAAGGTTAATTACATAGAATTGTTTGTAACATGTTCTGTAGAAATATTTTCTCAACTTTCAAACCTTTATTTTCATTTTGAGTAGGAGCAAGCTCACTTTTAAATAATTAATTTTAATAACTGGGAGCTCATGCTGAATTCTCTCTGTCCTAATACAACCTGTAATGGCTTGCTTCACCAACTATACCCTGTGTACAATGATCCAGAAGAAGAAAGGTGTCAGCAATTCTTGTTTCAGAACTCACTAGGGGCCTAATCCCTGCAACGTGTTGAGCACTCTGACCCTGTTCAAGAAAAGCACTAAAACATGTGCTTAACTTTAAGCATGTAAAGTTAATCACTTTTTCCCATTGAAGTTATGTGACCATCAGCTGTTTCAAGTTTAATATGTAATTTAGTGCTTTGCTACTGGGGTCAGCACATTCAGCACCTAGCAGGCTTGACCTCTGTGGTTGTAATCCTGATTTTTTTGTATACACAAAACTCCCTTTGACTTCAGTATCCACCACAGTCAGCAGCTGTGCAGGGGATATAGGACTGGTCCATAAACTGGTGAGGAACAGAACATTTCATTGGGAAAAAATAATTGCTCCCTTTCCCCCCTGACATTAGTAGTGGATCAAAAGCAAGTCTATTTTTCTTCCTGCCACACACTGGGAGGAAACAGAGCTTTAGATGTGCTTAAAGTCATATCTGTGAACATACTGTCTTCAGTTAAAAAAAGTCAAATACGTGACAACTTACCCAAAGTGACTGGCTAAATTTATGGAAATGCAGAGAAGGAAGAAGTTTTTGATCATGATAAAAGTAGGGAACATTCCATTGTCCATTCCAAATGAGTTTAATAATATAAGCAGTTGATTCGGGAAAGGTATTCCTTTCCCTCCTTTGTTCTTAAGCTGTAAGAGACAAAAATAAATATATAAATAAAAAAACAGATACAGAGATGATAGAATATCAGCATTCAGACAACAAAAAAGTGTCTGTTTTAACTATTTACCTATATTTTCCTATAAGCATCTCATATTGTACATTATAAAAATGCATTTATTCAAGGCCCTCTTTATCTTGTACTAATAGCAAATTACAAAACAAAAGAAATTATTTTTGTTGATTTGCTCATTAAGCAAATAATGTAGAATTATACAGATGTTTACTAGTTTCCAAATACTGATTTTAACCCTTACCTACTTTAAATAACAGCTATATGCTGCATAATCAAGTGCTGTTTGCGTGTGCTTTTCTTAGTTATGTTCTTTTCTTATTCCCAATTCAATTACAAATTTGTCTTTCCCAAATCTCCTGTTAGAAACCCTCTACTACTTGGAATTCAGGTGCTGATACATTGTGCATTAAAAGAAGACAAAAACATGATCTTTATTTTAAATGCACATAAACCTCATGCTAGGGAAATGATTTACAATAATATAATACCTGCCTGTGGGATTGATTGTCACTTTTTGGATGCCTGCCTCAATAATTAAGTAACCTAATAATTACAGTATTTGGGAGAGCTGTCTCTCACTGCTTAACTCTGCATCCTAATTAAAGTGTTTTACACACACACACACAACCTTTCAAATCAACCCTTCTCACTCTTTCTTGATTTTGGATCTGCTCAGGCAAATGAACAGAGCCTACTCACTTCCTCTTTCACAGTCCAAAAAAACCAAAATGGTTTCACTGTTACAATCTACGACCCCGCCTCCCAATTCCTAGAAATATTCAATTGACAACACTAGGCACCATTCAGTGAGGCTAGGGAGCTCTCCTTTGAACAGTGGGTTAAACTTGTCTATGAAGAGCCAAGGAGCCATTTCTCCCGGGATCTTACCGACAGGTAATAGCTTCCCACAAGCCTTCCCCAGCGGCCCAGCCCTTGGCGGGAGCAGGAATTGGTCGGTGGGCTGGTTCCCTCTCTTTCTCTCCCCTTGCAGCCAGGGCATTGCAGGGACCCACAAAGCCATCATCCTCTCCAATCCACTGCCTTGCACATGCAGCCTCAGCCCTGTCATCGACCCTGCAATCACTATAGCTTCTCCCTCATTTACTTGCTCACCCATCTCTTGACGCTCCATGCAGCCTCCCCAGAGGCACAGTACCAGCCCACAGTGGAACACAACCCCAGAGCCTCTGACTCTGCCCACTAATGCCCCTGGTGCTCTCTGGGCGCTGTGCCCGGCTGCCCCCGAGCTGCCCAACTCTGCCAACTTCTCAGGAAAGGCCAAAAGCAGGGTGCCTGGCCTCCAAGTGAGCCCCATGACACTACCATAGGCAGCAAGACCACAGTGTGCAAGGCCAGTCCCAGTCCCACCATGAGCACCCACCATGCCAGGCAAAGTTTGCACGGGCACATACAGGGCACTGCAGGGCCCAGTCGGTCACAGAACATCAAGTGCGCTGGCTGCAAAGGTGCCCCATGGGGACCCTCCCCTTCCCACAGCTCCTGTGGGACCCCAGCTCCCTACCCCCAGGATTCAGGTATCCGTCACTGCTTTGTAAGGCAGGAATAATCCCTCTTCCTACTCCCCCCCACCCTTACCAGCTGCCATGGATCAGGAAGGGGCTACTCGGGACATCCTTCCGCTTGGGGCTGCTGCAGCCCAAGGCTGGGTGATGAACCCTGGATGCTGAATGTTTCCCAGAGGCACCCAGGGACTGTGCTGGGGCTGGGCAAGAGACCCAGGCAGCTCCCTCCTGATGGGCTGCACTTGCTTTCCTTGCCTGCAGAACTCTGTTTCCTGCTTTCTCTCCTGCCTCGCCAGGATTGCCAGATTTCTACTGCATTAATAACCCAAAGTCACTTAAAAACTAGCCCCAAACTAAGTAACCCAATCTATTTATTGAAACCATTTTTTTAATTAACACATTAGTCTACACATAAATAATATATGAAAGATTTTGGTGGATACCTCGTACAGATTTGATTAAATAAATAAATAAATTAAATAACAGCTACAAGTCCCAGCAGGAGTTCTCCACATTAGCAACAAAGCTATGAGATGACAATCAAATTCAAAATCCAAACCCCAAGGGGAATTTTGACAGGAAGGTCACTCCACTAACTGCCCCCACCTCAACCATATTAAAGTCCCCTTTATAGACAGACATCCACACACACAGCCCAGATGAGACACCCTAAAAAAACCCTGACAGCCAATGACCACCACTAAAAATCCTTCCACCCAGAGTCCCCTACACCCTAGAAAAACCCAGAGCCCCAATATAAGCTGTCACCCAGACTTCCCCTCCCTCTCCCCCCAAATAAACATCCTGCAACCCAGAGCCCCCTGGCCTCCCTGTCACCTCAATAAACACCCTTCCATCCAGAACTCCCTGCACTCCATTAATCACTGTCACCCAAATAAAAACCCTGCGATCCAGAGCCCTCTGCCCCCAGTAATCACCCTGTCACCCCAACAAACACCCTGCTCTCCAGCACCCCCTGCCCCCAGTAATCACCCTATCACCCCAACAAACACCCAGCGGTCCAGAGCCCCCTGGCCCCCCAGTAATCACCCTGTCACCCCAACAAATACCCTGTCATCCAGAGTCCCTTGGCCCCCAGTAATCACCCTATCAGTTACCCCAACAAACACCCTGCACTCCAGCACCCCCTGCCCCCAGTAATCACCCTGTCACCCCAACAAACATCCTGCAGTTCAGCCCCCTTCCCCCCCCCCCCCCGCCCTTCCATGTGCAGCCCCAGAGGGGCAGCTGCGGATCCTCCCCCTGCCCACTGCCTTAGGTCCAGACTGGCTGCTGCTACCTCCCAGGCCGGAGGTCTCCTCCTCGCCCAGCCCCAGAGCCTGCAGGAGGCTGCCGGGCTCCAGCGCTTCAGCCCGGGCTCTGCAGCAGGCGCTCCCGCCGGGCAGGCTGCCGCCGCGTGAGCGGGGAGGCGGGCGGTGTGGGAGGCTGCGGAGGCAGAGCCTAGCCCGGGTCGGGTCGGGGGGTCAGCCCTGCCCCGCTTACCTTAGCTGCGGCTCGTGGCACGGCACTGCCCGGGGTGGGGGTGGCTCCAGCGTCCCTGCTCCTCGCTGGAGCTGCGAGCGGGGTGGGGCAGCATCTTCCTCGTGCTGCAAAGTGCACCGGCGGGGGGAGACCCTGGGAGAGGGGACGTACCCGGGAGAGCAGCCCCGGAGCCTTGTCCCGATCCCGACCTGCCCCACGGGCGGCTCAGCGGGGCAGGGGCGCGCTCTGCCCGCGGGGCTGACGATGGGCGGGGGGCAGGAAGGGACACCCCGACATCAGCCCTCGCCCGGCTCTGTCCCGGGCCGGGCTCTCACCTGCGCATCGGAGCAGGAGGTTCCGGAGCAGCGCGGCCAGGGGCAGCGGGAGCGAGGGCAGCACAGGTGAATGGCCTGTGGCGTCTGTCACTTCCAGCTGGCCACAGCCCCCTACCCCGGGGACACACACAGCACAGGCACTGCCCTCCTCCCCTCTCCCCGGGAGACACCCACCCACCACAGGCACTGCCCCCTCCTCTTCCCCTGGACACAGAGCGCAGGCACTGCCACCACACCCCCCCACACACACACAGCATAGGTACTGCCCCCCTCCCCCTCTCCCGCCCCGGACACACAGCACTAGCACTACTGCCCCCTCCTTGAGTCCCTTCCCTCCTCCCCCGCAGGATACAGGTGCTGTCCCCTCCCCACTCCCCCAGGGACACACACAGCACAGGCACTGCCTCCTCCCCTTTGCCCCCCCCAGCCCAAAATGTAGCAGACTATCAGCAAACTAGCCCAAAATATTGCAACCCATGACTCCTCATAAACCCCCCCAAACCAACAAACAAAACCTTGCGACTGGTATTTTAAAATTGCCCAATTCCACAGGAAAATGGCAAACGTGGCAACACCGCCACATGTCCTCCAAGCAGAAAGGCAGGCCGCTCATGAGGCAGCTGGGCACCAGCAGAGACTGCCACACACATGGCAGAAATAGGCAGGCAGGCCAGTAGTCACCACCATGTCCCTTCCCGAGGCAATCAGCAGGATGGGACTGGAATGTGAGTGTCTTGGGAGTGTGAGCCTGGGCACAGGGAGGCTGCAGAAGAATTTGCACTGGGCAGCAGATTTGCTTGCTGTCTGAAATGTTTGAGCCCTTCCAAAGTTTGGGGCTTGCATGCTGTGCCCAAAGTCAGGGTCGATACTTGGATGGTTTAGACACAAATCCTGCAGCTTGGCAGGAGGTTAGACTAGATGACCCTTGTTGTCCCTTCTAACTCATGGTTCTATGATTCTATGAAAAGAAGAAGCCATGTATTGCTATGTATGCCTTATCACCCACACCACTACAACTATACTGCATACATTTCCCTATTATGGTTTATTGTTTGCTGAGTATTGACAATAGGCTTGAAACTTTATAAAGCACTTAATAAAATATATAGGGCAGCTCCTGCAAGTCCTTGCTGCACCAAACTCTAGTATATTTTTAATGACATTTAGTACACCTCTACCCCAATATAACGCGACCCGATATAACACGAATTTGGATATAACGCAGTAAAGCAGCACTCCGGGGTGGGGTGGTGGGGCTGCGCACTCTGGTGGATCAAAGCAAGTTCGATATAACGCGGTTTCACCTATAATGTGGTAAGATTTTGTGGCTCCTGAGGAATGCGTTATATTGGGGTAGAGGTGTATTTAATAGGTATGTGGTGTAACTAAAGACTTCACGGTAAGCTGAAATAAAGAAGGAAGGCAGCTTTTTCCATCTCCCCTCACACACACACACGCTGCTGCCACCACCTCTCCATAATGATGTCCCCTAAGACAGCAAAACATGAAAAGGTCAGTCCTGCATGAAACAAGCTCCCCATTCTCTCCAAGGGCAACTGACCAACGATGAACATACCTCCTGATACCTCCTGTGCTAGCTGCAGGTTGCAGGTCATACAAAATCATTTAACTGAGAGTACTTGGGCTTTATTTTTTGGCCTACATTTCTTACAGATATTTAATTCAGTTGCCATTTTTCCTTGTTCAGAAATGTAAAGATAAAGTTTGTGCTGATGTAATTGTACTATGTAGCATAACTATATTTAAAGACCTGTTAAGGTTTCTGTTATAGACACTCCTCTTTAAAATGAAATTTGTAGGTGATTGATCCATGGTCTGTACTGCTGTAAACTTTTAAATATTTAAGTGGCAGTTTGTACAGTTAATATAGTTGTATAGTTAATAGTTGTAATAAGGGTCCTTGGTAATACATTACTTGTATTACACATTTCAGAAGACACTGTGATAACTTCAATATTTTATTATGAATGCATACTAAAGATAACATTCTTTATAAATAAACCTCTGTCAGGCAGAATATTTGGTGTACTTTTTTCATTATGCATTGAAACCATACAATAAATCTCTAAGAATTCAAAAGAATTGTGATATAATAGTGTGAATGAACCTTACAAAAAGTACACCACGACTCTAATAGCACATCATTATAGTTCTAGTGATAGGATGTGTGGCCTTCAGACACCATAATGGAGCAACAGAACATTTTTTTTTTTAGATATCCATAAAGATCAAGGAAATTAAATAAGGAAAATATAGGATGTATCCTGCATCCACTGGAGTCAATGGCAAAAATCTCATTGGTTTTGTAGATCAAGATCAAGATCATGCTGATGCATATATGAATATAGCTAGAGTCTGACTGAAAGCCCCAAAAGCAAGCAAATTTAGAGTTCACTGCCAAATCCTGTAGTCCTCACTTAAGCAAAACTCATGTTGAAGATTGGGCTTTATTGGTGTAACTTCATTTTTTACTCATCTGTGGTGCTTATGCATTTTACAGATTGTTACAGATTGCACCCATAGTGGTCTTAAATGCAGAGCTAACGCCTTATATTTTCCTTGTTGTACATTAATAACTTAAACTGGCATGAAGTTATGAATGAATATTAACAACAGACTACTCTTCTATGTGTTCTAAAATACCTACGCAAAATAAAAATAGAGTCTTTAATGACAGTTTCCTTGCTTTTGTGGCTTTCAATCAGACCCTTAATTTTGCTTTGAGATGATTTTTATTAATCTGAATTAATTATATGTAAAGGTGATAAAGCAAAATTTCTCATAATTAAATACAAATCATAATTAAAGGTGCTGGCCTAAATTCTTCATTTTAACTAGTAAGAGTTACACATTTTTTTAGCTCCCCGTTCCACTTTTCATGTTAATGTAGTCTAACATTACTTTCTTTAACTTGTTAGATCTTTTCCTCAGAGCCATATGCTTTGAATGAATATTTATTTAACTAAATCAAAGAGAGAAATCATTTAAAAAAACAAAAAAACCTCTGGAAATTGGATGGTGGTAAAATGTTAGACCACTTGTAACTTCTTGAAGAAAAATGAAAAAGTGCATTTCTCTTTAAAACAGAACATTTGATAAATATCCATTTAATTTTAGGATATTGTGCTTGCCATGAAAAAATGTCACTTTACAAGCATACCATGCTAAATCCCATCTGTTCTGTCAGCATTTTTTGTTATTTAGTTGAGTATTCTCAGTAAATATCTGTAGTTTGTTACTGGACCATTAGAGGGTATCATAGTTCCATATAACCATAGCGTTAAATAGAACTGATAGCTCTTGAAAAGAGCCATGCTCAGAGAATGAGGTCTGCATGTGAGGTTAGAATACTTGGTCAGATGGTGGAGCACTTACACTATAACATTCTCTGTCTACTCTGCAGAGTCCAGGACCTGTGTATGCATGTGCATGTATATATAATTGTGGCAATTGCAAGTAAAACACAACATATAATTAATCAAAGAGAAAGTGGAAAGTAAATTTCATTTCATTGGCTATCAACCAATTACTGTGCAATACCATAGGTATGATAAAGGAAAAATAAATTGGCTTGGTAGAAAACATATAAAATATAATGGGCCAAATGAGAGACTTGTGGAATTACATCAGGGATGAATTTGGTCCCTTGGTTCTAAGCAGCAATGCTGATTTTCCCTATAGCATGTTCTATACGGTACTATTGTAAAATAGAATTGACTCTGTGTGCCAATTAATTTATCCATCACGACACAGTATATTCAAAATATGTTATTCATATTCATATGACATTCACCCTTGGCAAAGTCCTATTTTGAGAAATTAAGTCAGACATTAAATGGTGAATAGGCCTTTATGTTGGTCCTCTGCACAGGGGAGAATTTCATCCAATGAGAATTGTAACCTTAGAATTCCTACAGATATTGGGATTTGCTTTGTCTTCAAAGAACAATATATTGTATGTTAGTTTCAGTATGATTTTTTCAATAGTTGCTTCATGGTTTATGCTCACTCTATCTGCATACTCAGTCTTCCTGTTCAATTTAAAAGGACTCACACTCTTCAGTAAGTGAAAAAATTAACTGATCTTTACAATGCTCAAGAAGGTATTCCTTTTGTTCTATTGTAAAATAGAATTGACTCTGTGTGTCAATCAATTTATCCATCACGACACAGTATGTTCAAAATATGTTATTCATAATGAGTAATATTCACCCTTGGCAAAGTCCTATTTTGAGAAATTAAGTCAGACATTAAATGGTGAATAGGCCTTTATGTTGGTCCTCTGCACAGGGGAGAATTTCATCCAATGAGAATTGTAACCTTAGAATTCCTACAGATATTGGGATTTGCTTTGTCTTCAAAGAACAATATATTGTATGTTAGTTTCAGTATGATTTTTTCAATAGTTGCTTCATGGTTTATGCTCACTCTATCTGCATACTCAGTCTTCCTGTTCAGTTTAAAAGGACTCACACTCTTCAGTAAGTGAAAAAATTAACTGATCTTTACAATGCTCAAGAAGGTATTCCTTTTGTTACCAACCCACGTTCCATGCCAACGTCCAACCCAGCATGACAATAACCACTTCGTGATGTGGTTTTGTTTTTTTATTAGTTTGAGAGATAGTCATACACTGTCCACCTCCACTGTTTTGCATTTTGAGATGTAACACAGATTATTTGCAAAGATAAATATATTAAGCTAGATTTACCCACTGCACCGACAAAAGTCACAGTGGAGGATAGGTTCATCAATGGCTATTAACCAGGATGGAAAGGGATGGTGTCCTTAGCCTCTATTTGCCAGAAGCTGGGAATGGGTGACAGGGGATGGATCACTTGATGATTCCCTGTTCTGTTCATGCCCTCTGGGGCACCTGGCATTGGCCACTGTTGGAAGACAGGATATTGAGC